TTTGATCTTGGAGTTTTCGAGAGTGTAATTATGTCGATTGCATTGGAGAGGATAGATGCGGGTATTGGGTTCAAGTGGGTGATGGTGCGCGACTCCGTGTTTGAGTCACCGTCAGTGGCGATGGAGAGGAAAGTGGAGGAAGAGGAGCATGAGTTTAGAAGCCACCGTCACTAGTGCTGCTAGTGCAAAGCGAGTGCATAGAGAGAGCCAAAAGGAAGGCGTAGGTTGTGTTGAAGCAGGGTTGAAAGAACCCAGATCTGGGTTAGGTTTAAATTTCCTTAGTGAAACTTTGTTATGTGTTTCAATTTCCTTAGTGACGAGAAGAACATGGTTGTCGAAATGTTCTAGTAATAAATTCCAAATTCAGGCTGTTTTCTTCGAGGGAATCAAAGATCCTTTTTTGGGGGAATCTATGGATGAGGTCTCTCTTCACGTTGCTCATGGCTCCAAACGACATGATCGAGTGGCCGTAGAACAGGTTCGGCTGAGTTGATGCGAGAACTGACGTGAACCACCGATTGAACACGGCAAACTCGTTTGCCAACTCAGTGTAAATCAGAACCCTACTTAGCTCGAACTTGCTCATGACGGTCTTCGCCATCCCTTCACTCATGCTTTCCACCGGCTGAGCGAACCCATTCATCGGTGCGGAGGAAGAAGGCTGGGAAAGAGGAAGGGGCAAAAGGATGACAGAGAAGAAGGGAGGAAGAACAAGATGAATAATATAATAATAAATTATGTGGGTTTTTATTCCAATAGGAAAAAATGTCACGTGGAAAAAGAAAAATACCATCTCATCGAGTTTGTTTTCCACATAATTATTTTTTTTAAATGTGATTTTGTCACAAAATAACACATCACATATCAGTTAACTGACGAAAGAACTATTTTGGTATAAAAATGAAAATTTAAAGATAATTTTGATATTTTTTAAAGTTGAGGGATAATTTTAATGTTAAAGTGTAAAGTTGAGGGACCAAAATGGTATTTAAACCTTTTTGTTTCTAGCAGTGCAATTTTTGCAAATTAATATTTTTTGGAGTTAAATATTTCTAGTAACCTTCTTGGTTGGTGGCTGGTGGGGGAAGGGGGTGTGAAGGGGTTCGGTCGGACATGCGATTCAGTGGCTTTCACCACTCAAGCCCAGTTTGCACTAAAACTTTTGAAGCCCAAATTTGAAACAGGTTATCCAAACTCCAAACCCAGTTTCTAGAGGACTCAAAATTTTAAAGCGCAAATCAATAACCATCAAGAAATGGATATTTAGGACTTGGGATTTCATTTGTGCTTTATAGGAGTATATGTTACCAAAAAGAAAAAAAACTGTATATAGATTTTATAAATAGTGATGTATTTATATATAAATTTTATATATTATATGGGATTAGAGTGTATCAATTTTGACTCTAAAAAATAATTAAAGAGTCTCTATCTATATCTAGAAACTAAAATATTATCTTATTAATTATTAATATCTAAATTTAAAAACTCATTATATATTTTAATATATCAACATATAACAAAATAATTTTTTAAATTTTGAATTGAATTTTAATTAAATAAAATGATGTAGTTTAATATTGAAATTTTAATTATTTTCGGGAATTAGGATTGATATGTACTTTTCTCATATTATATTTATATAAAAAGTAAAAATGCATATCAATTTTAACTCTCAAAATAAATTAGAGTTTCAACATTAAATTACGTCATTTTATTTAATTAAAAGTTAATTCAAAATTTTAAAAATTATCTTATTAAATATTAACATCTAGATTTAGAAACTAATTGTATATATAATTAGTTTCTAAATTTAGATATCAAAACTTAATAGAGTGAGATTCTAGTTTTTATATATAAATTAAAACTTCAATTATTTTTTAAAGTTAAGATTGATATGCACTAATTTTATTAATCTCAATGATTTATTTTTTACTTTTAATAATTAAATTTTATTTATATTTATTAAATATAATTATTTTTATTTAAAAAATTATAATAAAATTTAATTATTAAAAATAAAAAATAAAAAATAAAAATTTTATATAAATATAACATATAATATTTATATATAAATGAATTCTATCCTTTTACAAATGTTTTAATTTTCTTAAATGAAATGCAAGTACAGCCATAGAAATAATTTGAGTTCCCCAAGTCGATAATGTAGCAGAAAATTGAAAGTGTGGAAAATGAAAACACTTCTTGATGACGGACAGGACATTAAAGATAGGTGGGAATCTTACAATTTACAACATGATAAAAAAAGAGACAAGGTTTCTCAACAGGACCTTGTCCAGTTGTCCTTGTGCCCAGGCGAAAATGATGTTTAAAAAAGAAAAAAAAGGTAAAGGAAGAAGTAGAAAGAAACAATTTTTTCATTGCTTTCACTGTCAAAGAGAACAGAACACGTATTTGTGGATTCCCTTATTCTTCGGAAATCTCCTTTCCTAATTAGGTTTTTATTAATTTGTATCTTTATTAATATTAATATTAATATCAAATAGATAAATTTAATTAAATAAATAATAAATTAAATATTAATTTTTATTTTGTTAAGATAAATTTATAATAAAAAATATATTTAATACACTTTTAATTTATATTTTTAAAATATAAATTAAACAAAATCTGATAATTAATATCCTACCAGAGGAGTATTTTCTCTGCTTCTTTATCCTTAACCCTTTTAAATTTTATAACTTTATGTTAACAAGAAGAATAAAAAGAATATTATTTAGTAAGGCACCATTAAAAAATAATGGGTGTAGCTGCTGTAATTTTTTTTTTTTTTTTTGCTTTATCAAAGAGCAATAGAGATCCATATACATTTTTCATGTTCATAGTTAAAAGATACTTTTTCTATTTAAAATAATTGTTATTTTTTTATTAAGTATTTAGATTTATTTATAATATTTTTAAGAAAAAATAAAAGATAAAAAAAATTTTGTGATTGAATGATTAATTAAAATGAATAGATAATAACAAAGTTAAAATAAAAAAGCATTTATTCACTTTTAAAATGAAAAAATGATAATTAATTAAAATAAATTTAAAATAACAAAATAATAATTATTTTAAAATAAAAATAGTATCACACATTTATATCATGGTTCTTATAATAT